TTCTTTCCTCAGAGGCTGTCTGTCACTTCCCTACCATATACAAGTCAAGGTCCAAGCATTATTTCACATCAGAACTTACATCAGTGATTCATATCTAACCCAGAGTCCACTAGTTACCCTCTTTTCCTTCCTCATCATTCTTATCCAGTGAGGAGAATGCAACTCCCTTCCATAGTTGACACACATACCAATCCTGTTTTCCAACTACTCTATGCTTTCTCCAGGATGCTTCTTCTTAAAATGAGTCTGTTCTGCCACAGGAAAGCTCTAATCTCTTGTAAACCCACCATTTTAACTTATACCTTTCACAAAATTCTCCCTTCAACTACTTTGTTTAAGTGTAAATTATCATTCTCTCAGAAGACCCCTCTTTCTTGCCAGCCATTTCAGGAGAGGCTTCTCTTGTTTCCTCCCATATGTTGGTAGCTCATGTAAGGGCCAGGACAGCAAGAGAGGACCCAGCATTCTCTCCTTCAGACTTGTAGCCTCTTTATGAAATCTTTGTCCTTCTTTATTTCTTCAGTCTTTCTTCCTTCCCTCCTTCCGTCCCTCCCTCTCTCTCTTCCTTTCTTCCATCTTTCTTTCTTTCTTTATGAGAAATATGGCAAGTATATATAGACTTCTCTTTTTTTGTCTCCCTCCTTGTCACTATCATATCTTCATTTCTCTTTCATGTGCTTTGAGGACTTTACCTCTTAGAGCTTCATGACATCACTCACTGTATCAGGCAGGGTAGAGTTTAGGTTGCTGTTACAAAGAAATCCCCAATTCCGTGGCACAGATAAATTTGAAGTTTAAATATCTGAGACTAGATGTGGTCCAGGGCCAGCATGGAGTTCAGTAGGATTGAGGGTGTAATAAAGTCTGACTCCATCTTAGATGTTTGACTGACAGCTTTCAAGCCCTACCCCTCACTCTTTCCCTTTTGCCACACATCTGGTCAAACCCATAAGGATGCCTCTGTTTCCCTGCATTGGCACCAACATGAAGTCCAAATTACACAAACACTGGCCAGCTTTGAAACCGTCATCTCAGCCCCAAGTTTTAATCACAATAAGTTGATCTTACACTCTGCTGAACAAAATACATGATGGGACCAACCAGAGTTGTTCTTGGCCCTCTTCTCTCCATTCTTTCTATTCTTCTGGAGAAGTCTCATTTACCTCCTTGGCTTCATGATGATGTTTCTAGCCCAGATTTCTCCCTTGTCCTTAGGACACTTAAATCCTAATAAATTCACCATCCCAAACTTCACAGTGCAAATTTAGTAGGTCCTCATAACTTTTCCCCCACAATCTTCCTCCTAAGTTTCTCTCTTGATAGATTGTAGTATCATCTATTCTGTCACTCCAGCCATCATTGTGAGAGTCAATCTAGGCTTCTCTCTCTCACCTACACGATGTTACTAAATGCAATTCATTTCATACCCTCTTCTGTTACTTAAGTTGGCACCCCCCCTCTCTATCTCCACTGGTCTTCTAGCCTGTTCAGCCCATTATAATTTCTCTTATGTATTATTAAATTATCTCTCTGCCTTCTGACTCTTCCCCCCTAATCTATCCTTGGCATAGGTGTCAAAGTGATCTTTCTAAGATGCAAATACAATCACACCACTGGGCTGTTTATAAACCTTCCCATGGCTCCCTATCCTCTACATGACCAAACCTAAATGCCATGGCATACTTTGATTTGGCCTCTGTCATACTCTGCTCCTATTTTTTCCCTCCTACTCTCCTGTAGACTCCACTCTTTAGCTATACCAAACTACTTGTGATTCCCTGCATACACCCTATATTTTCTTGCCTCTCTTCTTGGGCACATGACCCTCTCTTTGTATTAAATGACCTTCCCCTATGAGACTAGCTAACTCTTATTCTCCTTGAGGCCCAGTTCAAAAGTCACCTCCAGGATTCCTGCTTTACGATACTTTCTCCTAGCCAGACTCATTTTGCCTCTCTTCTTTTATGTTCCCAGCCCTTTATGCAAACACATATTCCAGTGCTTACCCCATGAGGTTATAAATATTGATTTCTTGCTGTCTCACCCTAGAGAATGTGAGTATGTGAAACTCCTTACATGCGGGTACAGATATTTCACCTTTGAATACACCACAATCCCTAATTCATAGGAGACATTAAATAAATGTTTGATGAGTGAATAAATTTCCTTCAAGGCCCTCAAGCCAAACTATTTACCACACCTTTCTATTTTTGTCCCTGATGTCTAGCTTTTTCCCATCTCCATGCTGGCAACCAAGAACAATCTGTCAACGAATAAAGGATTTTTAGCAGAGAGAAACACTATTATATTTATCAAGTTGGAAAATAAACAGCAGTGTTTTTATAGCTGTTATGGTAGTTGTTTTTGATAAATACAAGACACATGAGAAACTGAAGTCCAAATTAATCTAATTTTATAGCTTAGAATCTGTTTGAGAAAGAACTTTATAAATGTAAGAATGTATGTATGTGTGTGTGTGTGTGTGTGTGTGTGTGTGTGTGTTTATATAATAATAAAGATAGTAAATAAAAAATCAGTGGACAACACAGGACATGTTGTAACTTCTCCAAGAAAGGGGAAAGATCCGTGGTGGTCATGATTACTGGAAAACCATGGGGTGGAACACCTCCCTGGCTGAGCACTGACCACAGCTTAGTAGGTGAAGCGAGGCTGTATAATGTATATGCACATATGTGAGGGTGATGGGATATGTCTGTTTCTGACATTGGCTTGTTTTAGAGAATGAGTAAAATAAGGTCATATTAAAGAGAGGTCTGAATATTGCCTTTTTCAAATTCAACTTGATTATGTAGCAAAAAGAAAAGCTATTGAAGTGTGTGGACTGAAGCATACTACATAATATGCTCCAAAGTACTAATATAATCTTCACCGGCAAGGTCAGAGAGCCAAATATGCTGATAGAGCCATGGTTGTATTCATTTTTATTTTGGAGGAACTTACAAATATAACTTACAAAAATTGAACGTGGAACTAGAAAATTCCAGGTTGTAACCAAAGCTGTTTTAATAAGCCAGAATTTGGAAAATAATTTGTAAACCATACACTATAGCCAGTTGTGCTTTTTCATATGAAAATTTTGCATCGAGATTTGATTCTAAACCCCCTAATACCTTCATTTCTTCTTATAAATTGTTTCAGTAATACATATAGAAATATCACAACACATGCACACAGTTTTAACACACAGGACAAATGACTGAAAGGAGAATGTTACTCAAATGTGAAATGACTGATTCCTTAAAATATTAGTATTTGAACCATAGTAATTTATGCTTAGATTTTACTTGATTTTCAAAATTCTAAATTTGGTTTAAAATAATTCCCTTTTATAGGTTAAAATTTCTGTCTCTAACATATTTTTATTCTAGTTGACACCACACTGTTAGATGAAGGATGAATTTTTTTGTCATTAGTATGTCTGTGGAATTATCAAATTTTAAGTTAGTCATAGTCTATTTTCTTCCCTCATCAGGTTTTTTTTTTGTTTGTTTGTTTTTGTTTTATCTTATTTAATTTTTCCTAATGGAGAAAAAAACAGTTGAATTTTTACATTTAAAAAATTAATAAATTTGTATTTCATAAAGGTTTTCTTCTAAGAAACCACTATTAACTTGTTTTTCTTATAACTAGATAATTGTTTTAATAAAATACATTGAATTTTCAAAAATTTAAAAATAAAATTTTATTTTAGAGTGAGAGTTGAGGAGAGGGGCAGAGGGAGACACACACACACACACACAGACACACAGAGAGAGAGAGAGAGAGAGAGAGAGAGAATATCTTAACTATACTCTACACTCAGCATGGAGCCCAACATGGGGCTTGATCCCATGACCCTGGGAATCATGACCTGAGCTGAATTCAAGATTCAGACGCTCAACAGACTGAGCCACCAAGGTGCCCTTGCCTTGAATATTTTTATCTTCTAAATATATAAATATACTATGCTTTCAGATGTACACATTTACTCATTTTTCTTCACTTTCTTTGTCTCATTTTGATATCCTGCTCTCAAAATATATGTTAGTGCATTTCCTGAACTTTATAAACATCTAACGTGTCCATACTGAATATGGCTCTAAAGACATAAGGAAAAGTTTTATGTTTATATACAATATGATGTGCCTCTATCCTTGCCTTCATGTAAGTGGCAAAGTGCCTTGAATTAGGCTTTAAAAATAGCAACCTTGGATAGCCAATCTTTCAGTAGAACTCTCTGTTAATGTTGTTCTCATTTTTCAATTGAGTTTCTGTTGAGCTGAATTTTATGGCATTAATTACTGACTTGCCTGAGTTGGATTCATTAAAAAAAGTCTAAGTACATATCTGACAAGCTATATACATTAATCTTGGGCTTTACTTCTTTTAAACCACTGGTATGGGTGGAAACCTCTAAACATTGATTGCTCCTTGGGGTTTGGGGTTGATGGGAGGTGGGAATAGTTTCCTGCAAATGCAAATAGTCAATTAGCTTTATAACCACTCTTCAATTAAAATAAAAATAGAATTCTCTGGGGAAAAATCTAACTAGAAAGATCACTTCACTGTAAATAGGACAGTCAATTTTATAGAAAAAGGCCTCCAGCACCAAGCACTCATTCCCATGTATATTGATTAATTCATTCAGCAAATATTTACTGAGTGCATATGCTGTCCCAGGCATATTGCATCCATCAATTACATTTTATACACACAGTGACATGACTCAAGTCTGGCAACAGAGCAAGTGAAATGAGGACTGGTACTAGTAACTACTATCATTAGCAATAACCACCACTGATTGTAAACTTCTTATATGCCAGGTATCATTCTAGAATCCTCATTGTCAGATTGCTTTCAACAATCTGGCAATAGAGAGATTATAATTGTCCACTTTTTAGAGGTAATATTGAGATAATTTATGTTTTTCATGAAGCCATCAGACCTGCATTTAGAGGCATATGAAAAATAATTAAGAAAAGCTTCCATTTTCTTTTCAGAGAGAAGACATCAGTATCAAAGTAATGATAGAGGGAGGAATTGAGAACATGGAAGAAAAGCTAAAGTGAGAGTTTCCTTATTCTCAAAATCTAAAAAAAAAAAAAAAAGGTAAGAGCAAAAATCAGGATTGTATCAGCAGTTACTTTCTGCCATTTACTTTCCAACCAGATTCTTTGTTGGTGGGAAAGGGGTGGGTAGAAACTAAGAGGGAAAAGACAAAGATGATGTTGGGTTCCAACCTCCCCTTCTCTGCTTTAATTTTACAAGTTTTCATCATTTTTTTTTTTTTAGTTTTAAATAGTATCTGTTGATATCCAACTATTGACAACATGGACTTCATCTTTCTCCATCAACCCACACCTCTGTACCTGTCCTCATCCCAGCCTCTTCACCGTTTGAACATATGTATGCCAAATATTTAACTAACTTTTGTTATTGGCTAAGTTGGCTAAGTCAAATACTTAATATTTACATTTTTCTAATTGTGGATATTGCTTATAGCTAAATTATGTAATGTACTATAATATATTTCTAATTATTTAAAAAACTTCATTGTTGTAGCTGTATTTCTTCCCTTGAGTTTTCTATGAACCTGTTACTTAATTGTTCTTAAATTCTTTGCTAAAAGTAAAAAATCCTTCAATGTGTTTATAACCCATGGAAACCCACCCTGAATGCTTCTAGAAATTTCTATGTGTCTCCAATGTTCTGAAATTTCATGTGATTTAGTGTAAAATACTTTTCCAACCATTATGACAAGCACTTGATAGGCTTAATAAATTTAGAAAATTGCATGCCGCATTTTGAGCATGGCAGTATTATTTAATATTATTATTTTATTACTTGATAATTGTTGTCTTTTCTCTCTGTTCTCTCTTCTGGAGTCTTTTATGTTTATGTTGTTCTGACTGTACTGATCCTCTATTTTCTTATTTTTATTTTCTCTTTCCATCTCTTTATCTTTTTATCATAGTTTCTTAAAGATTATATTCTAACATTTTCATAGGGTTTTGTATTTATGCTTTTAGAATCTTTAATATCTTTGAGTTTATTTTTGTTCTCTGAATGTTCCTTTTTTAGCTTTTGAAATAAATAGTGTATCTTTAGGACACCAATACTGATAATTTTTGAAGTATTGTTTTGCTCTCTGCATTCGGTTTCTCTGTAAATAACAGTGAACAAAAATAAAATAACTGGGAATAAAAATAAATAAGAAAGTATAGACTTTTACAAATAGCAACTGCCTTGCCTACTTCTCATATTCTCTAATCCCATACTATATTTCTTCAAGCACATATAACTCCCTAACATTGTATTTTATATTTATTTATTGCATTCTTATTATCTAAAATTCTTGGTGAAATGCACTTCTTTGAGACTAAAGGCTTTGTTTGTATTTAGAGCACTGTCTAAATACAGGATAGATAAGCAATAAATCTTTATAGAATTAAGATGTGATTAAATAAGTAAAAAACAAACAAACCCCCAACTATAAAACCTTATTTGAGAATGTAAGACAAAAGTTGAATCAATGGAAAGGCAGATATGTTCTTATCTGGGAACACTGACACATTTTAAGGTCACTTTTTTTCCCACTATGTTAAAAATAGATTGGAAGTTCCAAAAGTAAAGTATGGAGATCATTTGCAGGCTGTTGCAATCATCTAACAAGGAATAAAAATCACCTGGACCAAGAAAGTAGTAGAGAGATGGAGTGAAAAGTTTAGGCAACGGTCTATTTTGGCAAGAAAATTCAACAAGACTTTCTGTGTATTGCATAGCATGCATCCACATTTTCATTCTACTCTAAAAAATAATTTAATCACTTCCCTAATGATAGATATCTAGATCGCCTCCAATTCCTTACTTTCATAAGGAATACTGTATTAAGAATCTTTACGTATGTCCCTCCATGGGTTTGTGGGATAGTTTCTCTGAGATAGGAATAGTAAGATATAGGCTATATCTAGGTTGTTATCTAAATGGCTGAACCTACTTATATTCCTATCAATAATCATCAGAATTCTTATTATCACTTATCTGTACCAATGCTTGGTGCCATGTGACCCTGTTGATTTGTAAACTGGCCCCTGTACCCACAGGGCAGGGAGAGACCAAAGAAAGAGGCAGACCACTCCAGATTGGCAGGTGGTGTGTTTAATAAGGAAAGGAACTTGCATATGAGGCTAGTCTTGTCTTGGATGGACACAAGATGAGATCTCAGCACCCACTCACAGGATCTTAAAAGTTTATATAGAGGTCTTAACTGGGCCCAGTCATTTACGTCATCCAGATAGCTTTAACACCACATTTTAATCTGAAGGTTGTATCCTTGGAACAGCTTCTGAGAACAGGGAAAACAAGCAGAACACACATTCCAAGAAAAAGAGCAGAGGTGGGGAGCCTCCAATTTCCCGGGTCCAGATCATAGGTCAGCTGGTAATGTCTACTTGATTAACTCCTTCAACAAACATTCTAGTTTTTTCTAATCTCATGGGCATAAAGGAATTTGTCATTATATTAATTTACGTTTCTTTGATGACTAGTATGGCTAAATATTTCTACCTTTTTAGCCACAGCTTCTACATTTCTGCACAATGGACAACTTCTATTTGATTACTTATTTTTGCCTTGCTGATTTGTAGAAATTCTTTGTATGATCTAGTTAATAATTCCATCTTGCTTTTGGATGTATATCAGTCTGTCACATATCTGTTAACTTTGCCCATGATTTCCACTATTCAAAAGAAATCTTTTCATTCCTGAATTCAGTGGAAATGATGGGATTCTGGAATGCAGGAGCCAAGAGACAGCACTTAATCACTAAACATAAGATGAGCTGGTTACCACAATGGATAACACAACAAAAGCAATCATCATACTAGTCTTACCCACAGAGATTGTCAGCATTGGCTAATCATTTATAATGCTCTGGGTCGTGAATAGCTGGGAAGTATATTAGTTTCTTAAGGCTGCTGTAACAAAGTATGACAATCTAGGTAGCTTTAAGCAACAGAAATTGTTCTTTCACAGTTCTAGAGACTAGAAGTCTGAAATCAAGGTGTAGGCTGTGTCATGTTCTCTCTAAAACCTCAAGAGGAAAATCTGTCTCATGACTTTGCCTTAGCTTCTGGTGTTGCTGGAAGTCATTGGCATTTCTTGTATGGTTGACATATCACTCCAATATCAGTCTCTATCTTCACATGGTATTCTCCCTGTGTTTTTGTGTTTTTGTCTCTTCACTTCTATTTTCATATCAGTCATATTTGATTAAGGGCTTACCCTATTCCAGTATGACTTCTCCTTAAATTAAATATTAATTACATCTGCAACAGCCCTATTTCCAAATAAAGTCACATTCATACATATCAGATATCAGGACTTCCACATATAGTTTTGTGGATACAACTCAATGCACAATAGGGAGTTTAATATGGCATTACTTGATTTATATAAGCAAGGAGATCTAGATCTGGTTTATGGAACCCTGAAATGAACCTCCTCAAGTCTCCTTGAGGAGGGACCTAATATGTAGCCAAAATTTATGCTATGTCTTCCTCTTAGCTGTCTCCAAAGGGATCTGTGGCCCTTTGCCATGGTGATTACACATTGGGGAGGGGAAAATAATCAGGGATTACTAAACATTGGCTCTGAACTGACACAATTCCTAGAGATCTCTATGCTATGTGGTTTTCCAGGCAGATAGAGAATTCTGAATGTTAGATTATCAATGCAATTTTGACTTAGGTTTGTCTTACAGGGAGCCCACTGAACACACCCTGTGTTATTTCCCGATGTTGGAGTGCATAGGTAGAATTGACTGGTTGTCTTTACATTGATTCCATGACCTTAGTAGAGTGCGCTATTATGATAGGAAAGGAAAAGCCACTATAACTATTCATCTTTCAAAATAGTGAACCAAAAGCAATATTGCATTCCTGGAGGGGCTTCACAGATTAGTCCCATTAACAAAGATTTACAGGAGGTAGGGGTGATGATGCCCATGAACTCATTATTTAGCTTCTACAAGACAGAAGAATCCTGGAAAATTACTTTGACTTATCATAAACCTTATCATGTGATGACTCCAGTTGCAGCTGCTGTTAAAAATATGCTCAATTTCCAAGCCCTATGTCATAATTGAGGCTGTAGGGACCTCTATCATCTCTCCATTTCATAGGACACGATGCTGGTCCACTGTGCCGAGTGGAGAGTAGGAAGTAACAAGAATTCTAGATGTCTTGCTAAGACACTTGCATGCCTGAAGGTCTAAAATAGATTTCACAAAAATCCAGACGTTTGCCACCTCACAGAATTTATTAGTGTCCTGGTGGTCTAAGACAGTGTCCCAAACTATAGTTTATAGGCCACGGCTGGTCAATGGTCTGCTTTTATACAACCTGTGATCTAAGAGTGGTTTTTACATTTTTAAATGATCGTTTAAGAAAGAACAAAGGATATGTAACAGAAACTACATATACCCAGCAAAGCCTAAAATATTTTCTAGCTAGCCCTTTGTGGAAAAACTGTGCTAACCTCTCCTCTAGGTAATGTTGAAATATCTATCTTAGGTGAATAACAAAGTGCTGCATTTAGAGTCTCCTACTAGTAAGAGAGAGGTATGAACCATAGTGGATGTCTTTGGATCATAAAGGCAATATCTACTTCATTTGAATATGTTGCTCTGATCCGAGTGTCCAGAAAAGCTTCCATTCTTTAACATGGCTCAGGAAAGGAGTAAGTTTTGTAAAAGATCTAGTCTGCAGTGCAAATTACTCTGTCACTCAGAACCTATGCACCAGCAGATTCCATGGTGCTTAGAGCATCTGTGGCAGATAGAGATACTGTTTCAATTTCTGGCATGCCCTAATTGGAGAATTACAGCGTCAATCTTTAGATTTTGGAACAAATCTATGTCATCACTTGCAGATAGCTACTCTTTTAAAGTAGCGTCTGGCTTGTGACTGGCCTGAATCCTTGCCCATGGACTACCAAGTTACCATGTGATCCAAGCTGCCCATCCTGAATGGATATTTCCTGATCCAGCAACTCATGTAATTATGCATGCTAGAAATTCTCAGTTATCAAATGAAAGTCATATTTGTAACAGTGAGTTCAAGAAGATCCTAGCAGTTGTGAGCAATCATCCCAGTTTCCAAAGTACCTATTCCTGCTCTACTGCCTCCAAACTACATCTATGTCCCTATGTTTCCTATGACTAATAGAATGTAGGGGGAAAAAAACCCAACTTCAGATCTGAGTTACAAATGATTCTGCATTATTTGTTGGTACCACCTAAAAGTAGATGGATATCCATATCCAGATGGCCTTGAAGGACAATGGTGAAGGAAAATTCTCCCAGTGGGCAGAACTATGAGCAGTGCATTTAATTAAGTTTCTCTGGAAGGAGATACAGACAGAAGTGCAGATATACATTGTTTCATGGGCTGTGGCTTAGTGGTTTGACTTCACAGTTAGGGACTTAGAATGATTAAAACATTAGCGACAAGGAGGTCTAGAAAAAAGGTATGTAGATTGACCTCTCCTAGGGCAGAGTGTGATAATACTTATGTCACATGTGAGTACTCATAAAAGGCCAACTCAGAAGAGAAGGGCCTTAATAATAAGGTGAACATTAGTCAGCCTCTTTTCCTCTCTGATCTAGAAGTTGAGGCTGGCCACTTTGTGTTCTTACTGACATTGAATACATAGATCAGAAAATTACTACAGTTACTGTGTTGATTGATCCTGGTTATGAAAGGGAAATTGGGTTGCTATCATG